CTAGCTTCTTGAAGATAGGATTTAAGTCGTACTTATTGGTTACAACAGAATTCCTAGGTTGCTTCTCTAAAGTTTGTTTGTGTTTATTCAAAAAATTTCTTTTCTCTTCCGGGTCAGGAATAGAATTGATTGCTTCAAACAAAAGATCTTGTTCTTTTGGTAAAACATTTATGGTTGGGGCATCACTACTATCAGATGATGAAACTTCATCATCCTGCTGAATATTATGAATATCTTCATCAGAATAGTCATCCGTGGATTCTTCTTCAGAAGTTGCAACTAGAAGACTGCTAATTTGTTCTTCTGGTATTAGAGCCTGATGGGGAAATAGGATAATATTTATTAATATTAAGTTAATATCTGTTATTATGCATCTGGTATACCCCATTCATTTGCATCTTTAGAATGATCTTTTTAGTTGTACAGTAAATTTTCTGGAAAACTATGAATCTATGCTTTAAAATTTCGAAACAATTGTAGCAGTAAGACCCGTGAGTGGCCGTAAGACTAATTTGACGATGTTGTCTTCAAGTTCTAAAGCTAGTTCATAAGGATTCCTTTTTGTAATTAGTTTATGAAAAAAAAAGAGTTTTTTAAACCCAGATTCATTGGACAGGTATTAATTTAATATTAATTTATGGGATCTAATGGAACCAAATGAGGGTAATGATACTAGATACTAGTACACCATGAGTAATTTCCTCCGCTCCCTTTCTCGTCGTCTTACTGTCATGACATCCTCTTCCTCCTCTTCTCCTTCAAAAAATATGCTCACTGAGCAAAATCAAACCATGGAGGAAATTCCTCCTAAAAACAATATCTTCGAAGAAGAAGTCTGCTTTGAAGATATCAACCAAGCCATTGATAACTGGGAAATTCCCAAAATACCCCAGGATGAATTATATATTCCTGACAAAAAACATGTTCGCAGTTCTGATTACATTATCAAGACTGCTGAAAATAATATACCATTAGACCCCCAAGCTGATGAGGAGTTCCATCTTCTTACCAAACAATCTATTATAGAACATTCTAGGAAGTACAAATACCTCCATATAGGGTGTGTCCAAGTTGTTGTTAAGCCCTTAATCAGGGAAGGTCTTAATGCTTCAATTCTTATGTGTCTTAGAGATACAAGGCACAATGATTTCCATGACTCCCTTATAGGAACCGTCGAAACAAATTTAGGGCATGGCCTTGTTTATTTCAATTGTTTTCCAAATAAAACTGTGAGTCTTTTAGATAGAAATGTCTTAGACTCATTGTTTTTAAACATCAGATTGCATGGGTTAAACTTGAAAGAAGGTTCTATCCCTGCAACCCTCCTTTATAGGATCCAATACAAAGTCATGAACACTTGTAATTCAAGGGTTCTTCTTAAAACAAACGATAGGGAAACCACCTTGTTTGTCACAGACATGACAAAAGCCAATGTTGTTGTTCCCAAACTCATAAAATGGGATGAAGTTGAACTTCCTACAGCTTGGCAACTTGAAAGAGCCACACCAACCCTACCCAGACAAGCCCTTGAATTTCAAGAAATTAGGCAGTCTGAGGCTGGCAAGGTAGAGATTATTTTCGACAGGAGAAATTATTTCTCCTCAAGAACCGAAGCTACTAGATCAGAATACACTTCTGCTAGAAGATCCTTTTCGGTAGCATCACAATCTAGTACAAACACTATTCCTAGAATAATTATTCCTAATACAAATCTTAGAGGAATAGAAACAAATTCAACCATTCCAAGAGCTGTTTACCAAACCAATGAGGAGGATGATCAAAAGTCTATCCAGTCTCCAACCTATTCTTCCCTCAATGATCATTATGATACAATCTGAATTCCAAATTGATAAGGAGGCCCTCCGTAAAGATTTTGCCTCGGAGGAAAACCAACCCCAAAGATCTTGGTTTTTGAAAAATTACCAAGGTCCAAAAAGAATACAGATTCAGGAGATTTATTATAATTTCTTGAACCATGTCAAACTTAATATACCATTTCTTGATTGGTTTCATGCTTATACCATTAAGAAAAATATAGATTATCCTTTTAGAGATGACCTTATAGGACAGTATTCCACAAATGTTGTTTGGCATCTCAAAGACGGAGAAAAGGTCCAATCTGAACTTCCTCCCAAAACCCAATATCAACTCCCTCAAATTAGGGATGACAAAAATAACCCTGTGCTTGCTGCACCATTCAAAACCAAGGATGTGGATGAAAATTTGACTCCTAAAGACATTAAAAGTCTTATGGAGCAAGTTAACTATACAAACAAATATCTTCAAGTTTTAGGTGACAAATTAGCTGCCCATAAATCTGAATCAAGCCAATCACTGGCTAACCAAGCCCCAAGTTCAAAACATTTAGAAAAACCTCTATTTCAGCCTTTTAAGCTTAGTCAAAAAGCTAAACAAAATTTGCACAAAGCCAAGGCAAAAGCCAATATGGATTCTGATGCTAGTGAATTATTAAGTAAAATTAATAATTTACTTAAAGCAACTACCATTCCTGAGTCTCCCCAAGGTACTGAAGAAGCCTCTTCTAGACCTAAAATAAGGATGCCAGCAAGAACGTACTATAGGTGTTTTAAACCAAGGATCAGATCACGATTCTGATTCTAGTAACCCTCAATCCATTCAGATTAATCCTATTATGACCACCTCCAGAAACCAATAGAAAGGTCTAACAAAACCTTATCCCTCTACAACCCTAGATTTGGCCATAGAAGATAAGGACATCAATAATACTAGTTTTAATGCCAACAATGTTTATGAATGGAATATTGATGGTAAATCTGAATACAATATCATGCATATTTTCCAACATATGACTATGTTTTGTCCTGCCTATCAAACAGCCCATGAGAGTTCTGAGGAAGCTATAGCAAACATTATAGTATCAGGATTTACAGGGCAACTTAAAGGTTGGTGGGATCATTATCTCACTGAAACACAAAAATTAGGGATTTTTTCAGCTGTTAAAATTGATAACAATGGTGAACCGATCTTCAATAATGGTGAGACCATTCCAGATGCAGTCAATACCTTAATTTTTACCATAGCCCAACATTTTATAGGAGATCCATCTTTATGGAAAGATAGATCTGCTAAACTATTGTCCAATCTTAAGTGTAAAACCTTAGGAGATTTCAAGTGGTATAAGGATACATTCCTCACTAGGGTTTTTACTAGAGAAGATAGTCAACAACCTTTCTGGAAAGAGAAATTTTTAGCCGGTCTTCCAAGATCTTTAGGAGATAAGGTTAGGGATAATATTAGGTCTTTAACACCTGATAACATTATTCCCTATGACCATTTGAGTTATGGCCAATTAATTTCTTTTGTACAAAAAATAGCCTTGGAAATTTGCCAAAATGATAAGCTTCAGAGGCAACTAGCAAAAGAAAAAACCCAAAATAGGAAAGAATTAGGCACTTTTTGTGAACAGTTTGGTTTACCAGGGTGCTCTAAACAAAAAACCAAAAAATTTGTTAAGCATGACCAACCTACCCACTACAAACAACAACGACGATTTAGGAAACCTACAAGAAGAAATCAAGCATCCACTAGGGAACCTAAAACAGAATCAAAACCCCCACCTAGGAAGAAGAAATCTATAGTCTGTTACAATTGCAAAAAACCTGGTCATATCAGTAAATACTGTAGACTCAAAAGAAGAATTAGCAATCTCAATTTAGAACCAGAACTAGAAGAACAAATTAGCAGTCTTCTAGTTGCAACTTCTGAAGAAGAATCCACGGATGACTATTCTGATGAAGATATTCATAATATTCAGCAGGATGATGAAGTTTCATCATCTGATAGTAGTGATGCCCCAACCATAAATGTTTTAACAAAAGAACAAGATCTTTTGTTTGAAGCAATCAATTCTATTCCTGACCCGGAAGAGAAAAGAATTTTTTTGAATAAACTCAAACAAACTTTAGAGAAGCAACCTAGGAATTCTGTTGTAACCAATAAGTCCGACTTAAATCCTATCCTCAAGAAGTTAGAGAAAACTTCTACCAAACCGGCTACTATCCAAGATCTCCAAGCTGAGATTAAAAATCTTAAAAAGGAAATAAGGAGTATTAAGGAACAACAAGTTCTTCATCAAAATATTCTTTCCCAATTACAAGATGATTCTGACCAAGTAAAACCTCCTTCTGAACAGGATTTAGAACATAATGAAGTCGATTGGAGTGATTTCTTAGGTCTTATCAACCGATTAACCATTCAAAACTTCTTCATCAATATCAAGATTATTGTTGAAGATTTTGTCTTAGAAACCACAGCTCTTTTTGATACGGGAGCAGACTCCAATTATATCTTAGAAGGGCTCATCCCAACCAAATATTTCAAAAAAATATCTGAAAAGCTTAGCACTGCTAATGGATCTAAATTACAGATTAAATACAAGCTTTCAAAAGCCACCATAGAGAACCATGGCCAACAAATTGAAACCTCCTTCTTATTGGTCAAAGACCTTAGAAATGAAGTTATTCTTGGAACTCCTTTCATTAGGGCTTTATTTCCCTTAGAAATTACTCATTCAAAAATGCCTTTTTCTTTCCTCTTTAAACAACATGGAGAGAGCAGCAAATTTTGAAGATTAGAATATCCCAAAATGGATTTGATTTGTTAACAAAGTTTGCATTGTAATGTCCGCCCCAATCCCAACTTAGCCAAAATGTATCTATTTAACGCATTACACAAAACACAAAACATACGTACAACCTTATTAGTATTATTTTGTAATAGAATTAGAATTTTAATTTAATAATAATAATAATATTATGTATATTATTGAAGTGTGAAACTACACCTAAATTTTGTTTTTAGGTCCCGTACCTAAGGGTTAGGTCGTGGTATAAATATTATAATTTAAATTTACTTCCCTCGCTGCTAAGTTGTTTTATTAAATTACTTTTATGTAAGCAAGATTAAGTAACATTAGCATGGTGTTGAAAGAATTGATCATCCAAATCCAATAATAATGATAACAAACGGTGTTTGAACTAACTTAAAAGTAACCGTTCTGTTACTGAAAACGATCCATGATGAAGTGAAGGACAGAGATAGCAAATAAGGGAGTGTAGTCTCGTGTTCTCTCTCACTTTTCATTGTTTTTCCCACATAAAGTGTTGTGTTGGATCAGCTGAAAAGAGATCAAACATGATGTCTGTTACCGTTGCCGTTGCTGCCGCCACTTCCTCCGCCGTAGTAGGGTCCCACTCCCATCTTTCACGATCGCGGCGGTTAACGATGGCTCTCCGATCTGACGTGTCACTTACCCCAACAAGAATATTGACAAAACTCAAACACAACTGTGCCACTCCTCTGCCGCTTCTTCAGCAAGTGGCCCAAGCCATGTCTGCTGATATGCGAGCTGGCCTTGCCGCCCAGTCTGAGCCTGGCCCGGGCCTTCCCATGATACCCTCCTATGTGGAAAATCTTCCCACTGGGTATGTTCTAATGTTTATGTTCCCTTCCTAACTTGCCTTGTTCTTTTTTGCTGCAAATTTGGTGATTTCTTGTTGTGACATGAAAGGAATGAGAAAGGGTTGTTCTATGCGTTGGATCTCGGTGGAACGAACTTCCGTGTGCTGAGGGTGCAGTTGGGTGGCAAAGATGAGCGTGTGATCGCCACTGAGTTTGATCAAGTTTCCATACCACAGGACCTCATGTTTGCTACATCTCAGGTAGCTTATTACTTTATATTTGTTTTGTGTGCTTAAGGACAAAGTTGTCACATTTTTATATCAAATTAAGAAAATGTTAAATAAACCTCTGTATTTAACTATTTACTGTGGTCTTAGTCCTTAAATATATATTTATATTTGGCTTAATTTAACTTTTTGCCATTCAAATTTTATGATGATTTTGCGAAGTTACTCAATCAACTTATAAAATTACACATTTTATCAATCAACTTTTTGTATATTTTATTTTATCACTTTATTGAAAGTTTATATCCATTAGTTGAATGCATGATATGTGATCGCAAATATGATGTATTATATCATGATATCATTTATATGTCATATTAATATTTTAAATTATTAGATATCTCACATTAACTAATGATATAAAACTCTCATTTTAAAAATTAATTTTGTAAGATTAAGTTAAATTAATAACTTATATTTCTAAAACACATCATAAGGTCAACATGTCACCCATGCCACATTAAGGGTTCACTAACAGCTTCAAATGATCAATTATCGGGTGGCAAGATGTGTGAAAATTTGAAAATTGAGCGACAAAATTCGTAAAATCATAAAATTTGGTGTCAAAAAGTGCAATTAAACCTTTATATTATTACCTTTAACTATTTTCTTTTTTTTGAATTTTTGACTATCAATTTGCATTTTCAAGAACTTATTTAATATTTTTTTTTTTTTAGACAAATATGATAAAAAATCCAAATCCAGGCACCAAAATAACAGCTTCCTGCCTTCCTCTTTCAACATCATTAATGCTTCCAATTTGAATTGCAGGAGCTTTTTGATTTCATTGCTTTGGGGCTAGCAAAATTTGCGGCCAAGGAGGATGGTAGATTTCATGTCTCGTCCGGAAGAAAGAGAGAGATTGGGTTCACGTTTTCATTTCCTGTGAAGCAGACATCTATTGATTCCGGCATACTAATCAAGTGGACTAAAGGTTTTGCAGTCTCAGGAACAGTATGTATCATTATTTAACTTAGTGTCCATTAACACAAAAACTTGAAATGAAACTCTAACAATATAGATCCATCCAAATTGTTACTATTTTCTTTTGAAAAAAGATAATTTTCAACACAAGGTAGAATGACAGATTGTATGAGTGAGAGGCAATGTATCATTAACAAGATTTTTATATTTTGGTAATGTTAAATAGTAGCAGAAATATATAAACTCAATGCTAGCATGATGAGGAACTTTAAACATTTACACAGGCTGGAAGAGATGTGGTTGCTTGTCTGAATGAAGCTATGGAAAGGCAAGAACTAGATATGCGTGTTTCTGCTCTGGTATGTTATCTTAATATCATAGCTTTATAAAAGTTCAAGAATGAATTAAAGTACACTGATCCAACCATGGATTGCCATATGATATAATTAAAAATAGTTCACTTTTATAATAATTACTTTGTATATAAAGTATTTTCTAATTGGTTATACAATGTGGCAAAATTAAAAGTTTGTAAGTTTAACCCAATACAGTGGTGGCATAATATTAGTATATGTGTACCTAATAGGTGAATGACACTGTGGGAACGTTAGCTGGAGCAGAATACTGGGACAATGATGTCATAGCTGCTGTCATTTTAGGTACCGGAACCAATGCTTGCTATGTTGAGCAGATGAGTGCCATTCCAAAGTTAAAGGGCCATAACTCTTCTTCTCAGAAAATGGTTAGTAAAGACTTACTCTCCTTCATTTCTTCATATCTTGTTCTAATGATATAGATATATTAGATAGATCATCTTAATCTAAGAAAAACACTCCTTAATTCAGATCATTAGTACGGAGTGGGGGGCTTTCTCAAATGGTCTCCCTTTAACCGAGTTTGATAGGGAAATGGATGCTGCTAGCATCAATCCTGGTGAGCAGGTAAATTTTGGTGCCTTGTTCTGACAGAAAATGTGTGAATAAATTCTCTGAAAACACTTGTAGGAGAAAAAAATAAAATTAGCTTTTCCATAAGCTAAAATTAATTTATACACAAGTTAATTTTGTAGAAGTTCTCTCAATCTCTCATATTAGTTTCTGTAAAAACTTATTCTTAACTAATGTATAAGCTAATTTTATCTTTAAGAGAAATTTTTTTTCATTTTTTCTTTGTATTTTTTTCTTCTATAAATACTTTTGGAAAAGTTTATCCAGCCAAGTAACAAGTAACTAGAGGAGTCATTGTCTTCATATTACTTGGCAGATCTTTGAAAAGACAATCTCAGGAATGTATCTAGGAGAAATTGTTAGACGAGTGCTTCTGAAAATGGCTGAAGAGGGTGGTTTGTTTGGCAAATCTGTCCCACAAAAACTATCTACACCTTTCATACTCGGGTAAATTTTAATTTTCAGTTAAAATCTACTTCTCAAACCATATGCATCGATAAACCAAGTAATTTTAATTTCGTTTTTCTAATTTTCCCAATTATTCCTTTCTTTTGAATACAAGTTATGTTTGTTAGAATATATCTTCAGCTTAACACTCTTAAGCTATATTCGTACTGAAATATGCCTTTATATAAAATTAATAGGACTCCAGATCTATGTGCCATGCAGCAGGACTGTTCCGGAGATTTACTTGCAGTTGGGTCGCTCCTCTATGATAAAGCAGGGGTAAATTTCTTGTCCTATAAACTATACTGATGTCAATGCAGTAACATTACGTGTAAGCACCTGTTCCATAGCTCAGATTACCAAGCTAGTTTCTTAGTTTCTTTCAGAGCCAAAGAAAGAAGATGGTAATTTTTCGAGAAATAAGATCTGTTTTTGGATAAACAAAAACACTTGCAAGAGAAAATAATGGGAAAATAAAATGAAATTAAATTTTTCCATAAGTGTTAATTTATGAATTATCAAATAGTAAAAATTTCTTTGATTGATAGAATGAATGGGAAGACAAATTTATAATGATAGGCTTAGTTGAGAGGAAAACTAGCTTAGAAGAATAATTGGAATAGATTTGAGTAGTGAAAATGTCTTACTAGTTGCTTGGTTACAAATGTTGGGTACATAGCGGCCTATTTATAGGCCTCAACACCGGGTACATGGCGGTCTATAGGCCTCAACACCACCATTCATGTTTTATGTAGAAGATTTTAGAGATATCTACTCTAGAATTTTTCATCTATATATAATTGTCTACATAATTCTAGAATTTGTATCATTTAGTAGTTACTAGCATATACTTATGTATTTTTTCTAGAATAATCTAGCTTATTCTAGAAGTTTATATCACATTTTAACAATAAGTTAAAACTAACTTATATATAAACTAATTTATAAACATAAAAAGAACTCGTATAAATTAGTTTATTTAGTTTATATGAAAGTTAATTTTATTTTTCCATCGTATTTTTTTCTCCAATAAGTACTTCCAGAGGCCCTTAGTATCATATAAACAAATACTATTTGGTTATTTTATATTCTAATATGAAACTCATTCTTTGAACAGTAACTTTTTAAAATTTGAGTTTAATTTCTATACACAACATATTTTATTTGAAAGCTTAAGTAGAAGGGAAAAAATGATGATCCTTGTGGATCATATTTTCAAGATGACAGAGTTATGATAATATTAGTATGCCATACTGTCAAACACGAGCCATGTGTTTTATTTTATCATATCTGGTTAAAAAATTGCACACACAAATATATTACTCTATATTAATTTTCATATTCTGTTGTGCTGCCAATGGCTCATTCTCTTCAGGTTGAATCCAATTTAAGTGAAAGAAAAACAGTTATAGAGGTTTGTGAGACAATTGTAAAGCGAGGTGGCAGCTTAGCTGGTGCAGGAATTGTGGGGATTCTGCAGAAAATGGAAGAGGACCAGAGAGGTCTCATCTTTGGGTATGGAAACAGAAGTGTTGTTGCTATTGATGGGGGCTTATACGAAAATTACCCTCAATACAGGGCTCATTTGCAAGATTCAGTCAAAGAGCTGCTAGGAACAGAAAAGTCAAACAATGTGGTGATAGAGCATACAAAAGATGGATCTGGCATAGGAGCTGCTCTATTGGCTGCTTCAAACTCCATCTTCAAGCATAATTTGTAGGGCATTTACCATTATCATGCATGGAAATAAAATTTCTTAGTTCTTGTAGCACGTTTGTAATTATTGCAACCCTTCCCCTTGAGTGAGCATTGGGGGCAAGAATAAGAAATTGAAAGAATAAAATAATGTATATTTATGAGTCAGGTGAAAACTCAAATTCTGAGGATGTACTCCTTTAGTTGTAAGATACATGTATACATTTATTATAGTTTTAGTTAATGTGTTTTAGTTAATTCAAGTAAAAATTTGTTAGTGAGTTTTGTATACTCAATGGCTCCATAGAGTATGCCCTGTGTAATCAAAATATGAAAATTCAATTATAAAAAGAAATATATTCTTTCTGCTCTATTTTTTCTGCCCGTTCTTATAAGTGTGTAAGTCCAAGTTGACTCTAATAAAGTGATATAGAGCAGCAGATAACCTAGACTTAATGCGACCATGGCTTCTTCAAATAAAGCTTTACGTGAATGATTCGATAATAAAGCTTTGTATAGCTTGAAACAGGCCTAAAGCCTAAAATAAGAAGTTGACTCTTTTCCATTGAAACATTATTTTCTACAGTGTTCAGATGAGCATGATGTGTATATGAAACTCCAAAATGGTGTGAATTTGCTGCTCATGTACATTTACTTAAATGATTTGTTAATCACGGGAAGTGATTATTGAGATCCAACATTTTAAAACTATGCTATCTCTTTATTAATTCAAATTTATACATAGAAGAAACTCCCTCTGTTCCAAAATTTTAGTTTTTTTTTCTTTCAAAAAGTGATATTTTAAAATTTCTAAATTTAATTAATATATTGTTCTCAACTATACTCTTTCTTAATAGACATTTCTCTACCAATTGTTCACTTGTTTTTACAAAAATGAGATAATAAAGCGAAGATAATGAGATATTAAATAAGATTTTTTTAAGTTTAAATTTATATTTTTAATATATTATTTAATTAATATATATTAATTTTAAAAAAAAATTGGAAAAAAATTACAAGAGGTTCATTGTTAAACATGTTAGATTTATGAAATTTTATAATTTTTAATAATTTTTAAAAAAATTATGTTTGACAATGAAATTTGAAACATTTATCTTTTTATTGAGAAACATAATTTATAAATACTTTTATAAACGTGGATAAAAATTAAGAGAAGAGCCAACTGAGAAGGGTAATTTGAACGTTGAAAGTCAAGTAAGGGCATTGTCATTAGACGCTAGCTAAAGAAAATTAGAAATAAAAACAAAGTAAAGTGGTTCGTGGTTGTTTGATCATCTCTTGCAGTTGGCATTGCAATTGCAACTGAGAACGCTAAATTCGCCTTTCCTCCACCCTCGCAAATGGTCTTCATTATATTCCCTTTCGCTTTCATTCCAATTTTTTTTTTATTTTTTTTTAATTTCATTTTAAAATATGTCTTGTTTTCCCCTTTGCGCATTCGCAGATCCGATTCATTCTGTTGCAGAACCGGCAAGGCAAGACTCGTCTTGCCAAATACTACGTTCCTCTCGAGGATTCCGAGAAACACAAGGTCGAATACGAGGTAACATCTTCTCTCGTGCGATTCCACTTCATTCACAACACAACACAAAACCTTAACCTAATTTCCCTCAATTTTCCCAGGTTCACCGCCTCGTCGTTAACAGAGACCCTAAATACACTAATTTCGTCGAGGTCACAACTCTTTCCGCGATTTTCGCTTTCTTCCTTTGCTTTCACTGAGATTTAAATGCGTTAATTTATTGATCAATTTCCACTACTGATTCATAAAACATTGTGCTGTTTTTTTTTGTTGGTCTTAGGGTCTGTTTAGATAAACCTCTCTGGTAGCACTCCTGAGAAAAAAAAAAATAGGAAGAAAAATTGAAATAAGTTTTTTTTTTTAATAGTTAAAACTAGCTTATGCATCAATTAAAAGTAAGATTTTAGAGAGGGTGTTTCTACAAATTGATCTATACATATCTAATTTTAACTCATGGAGAATTTTATTTCATTTTTACTTCGTAGAAGTGGAAGTGTTTATGCAGAAGTTTATCCAAACATGGTTGTCTAAGTTGCTATAACTTTTATTTGGGTATGTTCTTGCCGTTTGATGGTATCATGTATTGCAGTTTCGTACGCACAAGATAATATACAGGCGATATGCTGGTTTGTTTTTCTCGCTGTGTGTTGATATCACTGATAATGAGTTGGCGTATTTAGAGTGCATCCATTTGTTTGTGGAGATATTGGATCACTTCTTCAGCAATGTCTGTGAACTCGATTTGGTTTTTAACTTCCACAAGGTTTGTTATTTATCTTATCTTTTTCTGTGCAATTCTGTTCTAATTCTTATCCTGCGTTTGTTTATTATATTTTACAATAAAATGGTTGTGTGATTGTTGACGTAGATGTCTATCTGCCGTAGTTTCTAGTCTCAGTATTGCTCTTAATTTTTTATTTTTTTTTTCTGGTGCATTTATTCTTGAGCTTATATTAGAATATTGACTAACCATAGCCTGCATTAGTCAATGATTCAATGTGCTATATTGTTTACATAGCTGGAAAATTCCATCTTCGTTACCAATTATTTAGCTGCACTAATCAATATGTAACGCCGTCCACTGTATAGTGTAGACAAAAAATCCTCCGGTTGATGTATATGTCTAATCTATGACACAATGCTATCAAATAACCTTTATGGTGCCGCCATAAAGATATAACGTGGTGTTTTTGGACCTTTCCGTCATTCGTCTTCCATATTTCTGGTTGTAAGGCACTGTCTGCCATGGCTATGGTGGAAATTTCCCTCAACTTTTTTGTTTCTCCTCTTCTCTCTTGGGAAGCTCTCCCTATTTGTGGTCAAACAACACTGGAAAGCCTTCTCAGGCCACCACCCTTGTCAGTGACCTGAACCATGGTGGCATGAGCTCTAGGATCTTTTCTGGCTTACAAATCCAGCGACCCATGACAACCTTTGATTTCTTTCTTTTCTCTCTCTTTGTTCTTTATCTGTTCTTCATTTCTTCAAATGTCCCTCATCCTTTTTTCTCTCTTTTTTGTTTTCTCTCTTACTTTCTGTGAGACTGCTTTTGTGCTCCATTTTTCAAAATTTTTGGAAATTAGTTGTTTTTTAGAATTTCAGAACCATGTTCTCTGTTATGTTGTTCTTTGCTTTCTTTATTAAACCTATAAATGTTCTTCCCATATTTGATCATATTCTTCCTTAAGATTATTATTACCTTTTTTTGTTGTTTCCTTACTCATGTAGTTTGCCTATATGTTTTGAAGGTCTATCTTATACTTGATGAATTCATTCTAGCGGGTGAACTGCAAGAAACAAGCAAGAAGGTATTATGCCAATTGTGTGCTGGGTGTAACTTTATTTACTAGTTAAATTCTATGGCATAGAAAACCTCAGTTCCGTAACAAACCTTTTTATTTTTTTATTTTTTTGCTGGCAGGCTATCATTGAGAGAATGGGGGAACTGGAAAAACTTGAGTGATACATTATTTTTAGCAGTCATAGCGGCTTGGAGATTTCGATGATTTGCTCATGCATTTCACATAATTCATGTATTTCAATTGCGTACAGAATTTTGAAAATCCTTTCCCTTGAGCTATGTATTCAGTATTCTTTACTTACGCTTCTTACTCGGGTTATGTTTATATATTGAAGACATTTATAAAATCAGGGTTTTCAGTAGCCTTTCTTGTATTGGTCTTTTGTTTTGTTTCTTTTCTATTTTCAAATTTCTTTGCACTTTTGGTAATTAGGAAAAAAGTTGACGGAAATATCACTGGATAATTGTAATATATAAGCAATATTAATTTTGTTGGTACAGATGAACTACCAAGTAACAAGTGCTGTATTTATAAGTTTGTGTCCCGGCTAATGAGAAGATTTGAGCGTGATCCTTTCTTGTTTTGAGTAAATAGTACATGCATTGATAGTGTAAAGAATTTTTATTGTAACCAATCAGAAATTATGTATAGTAATTTTGTTGATTTCTATGTTAACTATCCCAAATGTTACTAACATAATTTCTGATTGATTAACAACATAAAAAAATTATTTACACTCTCAGCTCATAGAAATTAAACTCTACAAGTTGCAGGTCCTGCTACAATGTATTAAACATCTGTGTTTTCTCGCAATTTCACTAGATCAATTTCCTAGTCCTATAGCAGCGTGTAAACTCTTTGCTACTTTTATCTTAACAGCCGTAGCAATAAAACCTGGAAATGTAGAAATATACAACAATGAATCACATTCGAATTTCTCATCACTTCACTATCGCACTCGCGGCCGTGTTGTACCACCTTGATGACCCTGTCTCTAATTTCTTCACATGCAGAAGGGGGATGAAGGTCTAGTCCATTTGTCCTGAAATGTGGCAAGGAGCTGCTTCTGTTGCCCAGAGATTGAAGCAATCTTTGATCCAAACACTTCTTGTGATGCAGAAGAGTCATGCCTTCCACTTTGCCAATTAGGATACTGGGTCCTCATAATATTGAAATTTAGCGTAGACCTACCTAGTTCTGCTTGTTGTACCCCCCAAAAGCTTTGGTGCTCTTGTTTATGAGAGACCGTTGAACTATAATGAGTGCCACATAACGGGTTTCCAAAATAATGAGGTTGCTGCAACCGAACCTGCAGTCAATTAAAGCATTATGTAACAATATCAGCATTGCAATATGGGTGGCATATTTATGAGGATATTAAATTGCTCGTCTTTGTTTTATGGTTGTTAAAGAAATTTATTCAATTTATTATTAGCAAGAAACTTTAGCCACCTCATTTCACTAAGCTATTCTTACCAAAGTTGAACCTTAGATTTCGGAACCCATTTTATTTGATTCATAGTACTTAATGAGCAAAGCGAGATTTAATACCTGTGGTCCTGCTACAGAAAGCTGATCAATGAAAGAAGTGGAGGCATGCTGACTCTGAGCCGCAGGAATTGGCATGACACCATGCTGCTGTGCTAGTGACTGTAAATAAGGAACTTGCAATTTTGACAATGGTTCCAACTTACTTCCAATTTTATTATAATTACTATTATTATTGTCGACCTTTAACCCATTACTTCCTCCTGAGAAGGACAAGAAGTTGAAATTCTGCAAAATAAGGATAGTCATTAGTGCATGAGAAAGAATAAGGGTTGGCTTATTTACCAATATTAACCTTAAGCTAGCTTACTTGCTTTTGAGGGCCATACATCATAGGTGTTGGAGCAGCCTGTGATATGTCTCGATAATGGCATTGCTGCTGAAGAATGATATTATTACTTTCATGGGGATGTCTCACAGTAGAAGTAACTCCATTTTTCATTCCGTTTAAGCTGTGTACTTCCAAAGGAACTCCACGCTTTGATCCTTCCTGTGCTTTCATTTGATGACATTCAAAAAGATCAGTTTCTTTGATAACATGTCTTTTTGACACCTCTAAACTCTTGATGATATGACTGATGTGCACATGAGCTGCACACCTCTTCCATGATCTTTTAAGAATAGAAGCCTGCACTGTTAGTAGTTAGTGGAGTGCACATCAAATAAGATAAAAAATAAAAAATAAAAAATTAACATAGTCGTTGTAAGTCACTCAAAACGGCAGTAATAATAAACTTGTTAGTCCTTAGTCCTTACCTTTCCACTAGAAGAACAAGTCGAAGTTTCCATCAAATCTAGTTTGGAGGCACGGATTGCAGCTTCTAGCCAATCAGGAGCTTTGTTGGTAGAAGACCTTGGAAAGAAAAAATTCATCAGATTTGGACAAATAGAACAAGAAGGATTGAAATCGAGCTACTAACAAGGTGAAAATGTGGAATGAAAGAAATTTACTGCAGATAAGTCTGACCAGCTGGTGCCACTGGAGACAAGCCTGGCCATAATGCAAGGCCCTCTGGTAAAAAACCCAAAAGAAGTCCAAGAATCAGTCAAATTGATGTAAAAACCTTTAGCCTGAAAAATCAACACTATCAAAAAGGGCATTTTATACCATTTCCCTTTTGTTCCTTGATCATATGCTGTTGTTTCTTACAATCAACATCTCTGGCCTGAAATGGAAACCAATAGCATCAATAAGACAAACACTAGCTCACAAATAACAAGCTTTGCTGGAACCCTACAAACTGTAAAAGTTGAAAAACTTACTGCCTCAAACTCCACATATGGTTTCCTCTCAATTTGAGAAATACGTGACTGTCGGGGCATATTTAACCTGCTATGTGATGGGAGAACATGTAAACATATACAAAGGGCTTGAAAAGTACAGATATTTCAGAATGCAACCAAAGAATGACCCACCCCATTGCTAGACATAACTCAGAGTCTTGCAGTGCAACTTTGCTGCTATTTTCACGCTTAACCACCACAGGCACGGCCTGAAGATTTATTGTTAGACAAGTGCTATTAGATGGCATCAAAACCCTTGCACTCTCAGGCAAATCAGGTTGTTCTTGACCAACAGCTTCATTCAAACTGATCTTTGAAGCTTCTCCAGGTGAATTTTCATGACAACAAGGACTTGCACCCGGAGCAGTTGCTGAGGCTAGAATAGAATCTATGCAAAAAAAATAAATAATAATAATGTTAATAACTAAGACAACTTTTTCGCTTATAATAATTTTACCAGGTTTATATATGGTTATTTCTAGTGGAAGATACTTATGGTCTTATACTAAAATAATAACTAAAGGTTTGTTTGAGTAAACTTTTCTAGAAACATTTCTAGGAGAGAAAAATAGGGGGAAAAAAAAAAAACTTCTTCATAAGTTAATTTGTAGAAATTCTTTCCTATTAACTTCTCCAAACTCTTTTCTATTAACTTCTCCAAAATTTTATTTTTAACTCATGTACAAGCTAGCTTTAAACTATAAAAAGATGTATTTCAATTTTTTTTCTTATTATATTCTCTTCTAAAAGTGTTTCTAGAGAAGATTATCCAAATATGCCCTAAGCAATTATCTCATATAAGGTTGAGAATGAACAATAACCTTCAAGTGAAGCACTAGGATTATCCTCCAAGTTCTGCAAAACTGATGATTTATCTGGCAAAGATTCCCCATCTGTTTGCTTACTATTATGATTGGAGCCATTGTCAGGGAACATTCCAGCCAAGGCATAGAGAGTCTCCGCAACCTCTTCCTCATCTTTTGTGATGGGCCCAGAAACTCCTCCTCTTGGGGACCAGTCACGCCTCATTCCTTGTTTCTACAAAAGCATAAAATTCCAAGCAAAAGGTGAAGAAACAGAAAATGCTAAGACAACCAAGCAAAAGGGTCGAGTTTTGAACACTGCCCACAGATGTCTTACTAACAACACTCACTTTGGACTTCTTTACACTATCCTTTCTGAGAGATTCTATTCCATCCATCTTATGCTCCACCTTTTCTGCATCAAGTAACGTGGATTCGCGACCGCGTTTCTTCGTAGTTGCTGTAATTTTGAAAAAGAAAACAAAATCATTATATTTTTAGCAAACAATATTTTTTCCTCTTCCTACACAAGATTATTGGATGCAGTCATGCAGAAGAAGAAAATAAACGGTCAATTAAAAGCTTATATAGTATATTAACATTTCAGTAGAAGAAAAATATATTGCAATAATTCACAAAGAAGAAAAACAAAAAGACCAACCGAATCCGTAGTCCAACATTTACAACAACAAAAAAAGAAAAAGAAAAAGCTTCTCATGATTCCCTGAGATTGCTTCAACTCTAATCCAAAAATCAATAACAAAAGATAAATAAAAAGGAAAGTGCATATTATATTATACATAACAAACGCTTTTGGTTCGGAATTTCAGAAACACGCACCTGAACGCAGCTTCCGTGGAACAGAGGCGCCGTTGCAGTCATTCAAAAACTGCCAAATCATTCAAAGGAGAGAAATATTAAGAGGAAGAAAAGAACCGAACACAACAAACTCATAACTGTTAGAAAATCTCCATAAATTAAAAATAACCAAATAAACACAATATTCAACTCCTTAAGTGCTTTAAATAACAGTTCTCCTACCAGAATTATAATTTCAACTCTATAATTTGTTACATAGAAGATAAAACTTCAATTCTGAAGTGAAGAGAAAACAAAGCTTTGGTTTATCAATAAATAAAATATTAAGGACATAATAAGAAACAAGAACATACATTCTTGTGAACCTTAAATCTCTTGGTGGTGGCAATGGCGGTTGAAGAAGGTTCACGTGTTTGTTGTTCGGAGACATGGCAACTCATTTGGAAGGTCGACGATGCTATTCCGACAGCACTCAAGCTTCTCACCTTTTCCTTCTTCGATTTCTCCGAGAGTCGAAGGTCACCACGGCCGAAAACTATGGCACACAAAGCGAAAGAGAAGCGAAGAAGCGTTATCTTCAAACTCTTCGTTATCGAAGAAAAAGCTTAAAAGAAAGAAGAAATAAAAAAGACACGAATAACGACAAGCATAAAATAGGTTTTGTCCGTTTGCGCAGGAAGAAAAAAAAAAAAAAAACACAAGAAGTTGGTGTTGTGTTGTGTAATTTATACTTACCACCCAAGAGTTTGTGTTTGTGATTGTGTCGCCGAGATTGTTTTTTAATGTGTCGTCGCTTGTTGGCGTTTGAGAACACACTGCTTCCACGCCTCACGTTTCTCACCTTGTCCATTTCTCTCCTGTGCTACCAAATAAATGAAATAAAATAGCAATAGTAACGAGTAATAAGCAAAGGAGAAGG